GTGTGTGTGTGTGTGTGTGTGTGTGTGTACAGTGCCCTGAGACAACAGTTGTTGTGACTTGGCACTATATAAATAACCTGAACTCATCACCTCTGCAGGAAGACCTCGTAGCGCCGTCTGTAAGCAAAGCCGGCTCTTCTCACCCTCAGGTTCTCCATCAGACCCAGGTACTTGACCTGGTGACGGATCAGCACCTCGTCGAATCGAGCTGCAACAGAGGAGGGGATGACAGGAACACGTCAGCAGGACTGCATGCACAGCAGCAGCAGTAGGAGGGACGGAGGACAGAGGGACAGTGAGGAGCCAACAAAAGGCCCAGTGTGTCGGGGACAAAGGCCGTCCCCACACTGGGACGAGCTCACAGTGTGACGACAACTCACTGTCTGAGCTGAGACTGGTGACTCACTGAAGTTAACACTGTTCTCATAAACATTATGGTCTTTATCAGAACAGACAACTGAAATAAATCTCTTGAAACTATGAAGTTACAGAGACAAAAAAATCAAACACTAACACTTAACCTTTCAAGCCCCCAGAGGTTTTCTTAAAGTTTTTGCTCAAAATCCCATGCTGAAATGTAACTGAGTGTATCTCAGCATTTACAAACTCTACTTAAATAATCTTAGCATCAAAATAAAGCTAACACTTGGAACATTTTATCAGAAGTGTAAGTATTAAAACAGCTGCTGTTCTAGAGATATTGAGGATGGAACATATTTTTTACATTTTCCCCCTCCCATCTGAATATTGTTTCATTAGACAGTATATAACCTATTTAAAACCATAATGAATCAGGCTAAAATCTCATGGAAACCATAAATCCACTTGTGGACATTAACTGTGCAAAGACACATGCTGATAAAATTAACTGAAGCAAAGTTACAGAGGTTTTAGTAAAGAAATAATTTTGAATTTTGTCATTCTGCACAGGACAGACCATGATGGTACTGGTAATAAATGCTAAGAATCTGAACTTTTTACATCCAGAAGTTATTTATTTTTTCTTACCTGCCTGAAAAGATTTATTACTGAATGTTTGTTCTTTTGAAAAATTGTCCTAACATTTATTAGTCAACATATACTGTATATTATATAAAATAATGAGAAATTATATTTAACTTCAGTTGGACCATATTCACTCAAAACCAATTTAAAAAACTTTCAACACACTTTACAACATATTTAGGTAATTACTTTGACTTGCTTTAATAAAATAACGTCAAAACATTTTCCTTTACAGATTTCCAATGATGATATTTTGTATAGTGTGTTTCTTTCTGATTCAACTGCTTGCCGTTTGAACTGTGTTTGGTGGCTGTAAAAATAGTTTCCATGAGATTTTAGCAAAGATTATTAAGTTTCTTTTGATACCAAACATGTGCAGGTTCAACTGACAGATCTGAAGTTAAAAGAATTTAAAAGAAATAGAAAACAGAAAAAAGCTGATTTACATTTCAAGAGGTCAAAGTAGAAGAATGCCATGAACCAATGCATATTCCCAAACTTGAACATTATGCACTGATTTTGGGTTTTGAATATATTGAAGTAGTGCTGGGAGGTATACCGTTTTGTACTGAATACCGTTTTTTTTATTTTTGTTATGATATGAATTTATTGAATACCGGACATTCCGGTTTAAATAGCGGAAAGTTTCGTCGCGCCCGCCAGTGAACTGTTATTTCCCGGGGGACAT